CGTCTCTCCTGACATATACTTTACCATATGCAGTCCAGCAATACTTATAAACCTTCGTCTTGGCCAACTCTCTTGCTAAGAAGTACAAGCGAGCTCCTTTTGCAGTCAGTTGTTCGGAAATGAATATGGGACTATCTTCGTTTTTTGTAAAGCCTAAATGTTCGACACATAGTTTTTCTTTGTGTTTTATGTTATAGGTCTTGCATGTCTTCAAGAATTCAGTCTTCAGGATAGTAGATGTCATTTCAACTATAACAGGCGTATTTACTTGATCTACTTTTTTCCTTGTACTCTGTAAACATCTTTAATGTCGGTTTTCATGACTTTGCAGCCTATATTTTTAGATAGACACAATACAATGCTTATTAGATCATCCTTGTTTTCTTTGGTGTTTCTAGGTACATTTTTGATCTCTAGGTTTGCTTTGCGACTATTACGCTGCAAGTCCTCAATTTTATCTTCCAGAATAATAATATATTCTTTATCCTTCTTTGCTTGAATCTCAAACTGCTCCACTTTTCTTTTAAGTTCTTCATTTTGCGCTGCAAGAAATGCAATGGAACTCTCTATGTTACAATTAGTTTGTTTAATTTCCATAAGCGTGGGGGGAATTTTTTTAAGTTCGTTTTCGTGCCTCGTCAACAAAGATTTAATCATGCATTTCATTTCTTCTTTAAAGGCTTCTAATTCTGTCTCCAAATCATCTGCTCTTCTCCTTTTACTACGCTGAGAGACAAAGTTAGGTGGAGTGACTGTCTTACTTTGCTCGGCAATGTCAGTCTCTGACAATGACTTATTTATATTTGTACTCATATTCTCCACACAACAGTTAAGTTGCAATCCGTTATTCAAAATTTAGTAAGATAGATAAAAATGCTGCGCGAGCTCAACTCTAGTAGTATATTAATGAATAACGCGAAACAACAGTCGGTTAAAATATAATAAACAACAACCGCTTACGCCCTACTCTTCCGTCCAATCCGCAGTTCCTTACACGTAACGTAGTCACCGCCCACTGAAGCGCTAATTAGCTGATTGATGTAGCTTTGGTAGGATGCACTGTGAGACGTCCTCAAGTTAGGCGTAGATCAAAATACCAGGGAAGCAGTAGTTACAGAGATATTCTTCGTGCGGTCGCGTTCACTATTTCTTATTTATGCACTCCTATTTTTATAAGTACAATTATTTACTCATGTACGAATTAATTTTTACAAAATATTTTACGCAAAAAGTTGTTACTACACGTTCACACCATACGGCGATCCGGAGGGAAGAGGCATATATATATATATATTGGCCAGATCCTAGAATTTATAATATCATAAATTAGACGATTATTGCACGAAATGGTAGCATTTGATTAAATTTAATATTGTTTTTGACTATGTCATGATATAGCTTCACCAAATAAATGAATAGCGATCGTTTGGTGATATTAATAACTTAACACAATATTGCTATTTCTTCATAATTTTTATTGCATTACACACCGCTAGCAGCTTTGATAGCGTATTTGGACAGAAACAGAATGTTTAATAGAATACACATCACTTTATGCCTCATTTATGTATTATATAAATGTTGGCGGCTTTATTGTGTGATTGGGCCACCCCAGTCGTAAACTCAAAACTTGAAAACGAGACTATACAACCAGTACGAATTGTCAGTGATGACCTATGGAAGTGAGACATCGTCGTTCACTGCAGGCCGTATGAGGAAACTCAAGGTCCCTTAACGAGCTATGGAGAGGGCTATGCTCGGGGTTTTTTGTATGATAAACTTAGAAATGAGAATATTCTCAGTAGAACCAGAGTGACCGACATAGCCCAACGGATTAGTAAGCTGCAGTGGCAATGGGCCGGCTACATAGCTCGAAGAACCGACAATTGATGGGGAAACAGGTTCTGGGGTGGCGGCTTCTTACCGGCGGATGAAGTATGGGGCGTCCATCCACTAGATGGAGTGACGACCTGATAAAACATGCAGGAAGTCGATGAATGCAGGTGGCTCAGGAATGTGCTTTGTGGCATTCCTTGGGGGAGGCCTATGTTGTAGACATTTGCGCGCTATGATATATTATGATTTTAAATTTGGTTTAACCAAACAATTGACAACGGTTACAATCAGCATTAGGGGACTCAGCTCCATCACGCGCAACAATTTTTAAGTGGTTTTCTGAATTCAAAAGGGGTAAAATTAATCTTAAATATGACCAAAGTACCGGGGCCCCGCAAACAGCAGTAACGACAGAAAATATATGGACTGCTGAAACGGGATAGAAGACTAAAGACCGGGCTTCGGGGAATCATGCTACATCACGATAACGCCTCTTCACACACCTCTCTTAGAACAAAAGCATTTATTGAGGAATCTGGTGTAGAAACTTTAAGTCACCCACTCTACAGCCCTGAGTTAGCTCTTTGTGATTTCTTTTTGTTCTCAAGAGTCAAAGAAAAAATAAAAGGCAAGTTTTTTTCATGCGCCGAAAAAGCCGTGGCTGCATACGAAGAAGCGATTTCCGAACTGTCAGATCAATACTGGCAAAAGTGTTTTCAGAGTCGGTTTAGGCGAATGGAACTTTGTATAGAGCATGATGGAGAATATTTTGAAGAGATGTAAAATAAATATTAATAGTATTTAAAATACTTTTTCTATATCTTACTACTTATTGCGTGTCCTTCGTATGAAGTAAGTTGCGTACGACTTTTTGACTTCAGGAGTAAACTAATCCATTTCTCCATACAAATAAATAAAATTGAAGTGTCTGTTTGTAATGTCAAAATAAAAACTGTTTCTAAATTTATTTGAAAGTTAAAACACATCGTCTTTGGTGCTGGAAATGAACGTCTGAGGCTTGGTCGGCTTTCGTAGATTTTGCGCAGTTGCCTCCTTCCCTTTGAAATATGTGACGGTATCCGTCTCTACACAAAGTTGCCGTTTTTTTGCAATGTTTTCAAATGTCCATACAGTTGCCGTTTCTTAAGAGAATATGTGATGAATTTTGGAAGCTCGGAATTTCATGGTTCGCAATACATTTATCTCGATTTCTTTTAATTTTGCAAAGCAGTGCGACGATTCGCTATCGCTAGTACGGCACGACGGCTTGCTGGCGCGAATGTGGCACGAACTCAGCAGAACGAAAAGCTGTAGTGCGTTTGCCTGGAGGTAGCCATATCGGCGCGTCCATGACTTAAATGAAGTATGGGATGGACGACCGTTGTAATATTTAACAAGAGTTAATATCTGTTAGCAGGTGGTGATAACTGATAGACCGTATGCTGTTCACTGTCAACCGCACGAGGCCGTGCGAAAGTCAGAGGTAGCCGTGTCTGTGCATCTAGAAAATACTAGAGACGTTGCAACACTCTAGCGAAGTAATTATTCTAGTGCAGGAAAGGAACATGAAGTTGCAGGGAGGCTGGTCTGTGCTGCACTGGGATATGTGTAGAGTTGCTGTTGGTTTACATACTTAGGTGTTATCGTGTCACTACGTCCCTCACGATACACATTTGTGTGATTGTGACGGGAACATGTTTGCGGTACGGTTGGTCTGTAACTGTTCTATACTGAATTGAAAAAAAAAGAGAGTAAGAAAAAAAATGTGGTTCTTACTATCATTGCAGGGCGTTTGCCGGTCCAATGATATAGCTACAGGGAATAGTGATTCCAGACTAGCATAAATAGTACTGAAAAAAAAAAGAGATTAAGAAAAAAGAATAGTTCTTACTATCATTGCAGGGCTTTGTGCCGGTCCAGTGATATAGCTATAGGGAATAGTGATTCCGGACTAGCGAAAACAGTACTTGAAAAAAAAAAAAGAGAAAATAGAAAAAGCTACAGACTAATCATTCCGATCTAGCATAAAGTTGATAAAGGTTTTGTAGGGCTTAGTGCCGGAACAAAACTGATTATCACCAGAGTCTGAAGGGTCAGTATAGACCGGACCAGACGCTGTTTTGTCAGGATAATCGAACGATGTTTTACAGATTACAGTTGTTACAGATAACTAAAATTGTAATAGAGCGCGTGCGAGGACGCACGCATGTCAGTATGGCCGTGACGGCACCTGCACCGTTGTAGATGTGGTGGCGTCGGTCTAGCTAGACAGAATTCTTGTAAACGACACGTGTACCGCACACCTGCGACATCGCACCTGCGTTGCCGCCCGTCCTGCTTGTATAAAACAGACTGAGCGGCCGCCGTTAAGACAGTCTTGGCTCTGACGTGGAACGGTGCGCTTGTCGTATTGCGTTACTAGTTTATCCTCGACTCGTTGGATAATTAATTCGTGTAAACGAATTAATTATTATTCCTAACTACAAAATCAGTCTCTGTACTATACTCAGTTACTCTGTCTACATATATATATATACATACTGATTACAATATTGTTTATAAAATTATGTCATATTTTTAGTCAATTTATAAAAACAGAGTTACTTAAAGCTACTTCTTTTTTGTATGTGTCTTATGTGAGATCTTCGACAATTTTGAACCGATTTTAATGTTTATTTTTATTAAATAGACCCATTAGACCAATAGACCCACCTCGCTATATGTTCGGATACAATTTTTTTAAGATAGTTATGATCATCATAGATATGTATTATAACATTTAATAAAATTAATTTTTCTTGTTATATCACGTTTAATTTTACTCGGTAAAGTAGGAAGAGGACCGGAGGTATTCAACAGGCACCGGTGTTGTGGTATTCAACACCTTTTGATGTAAATGTTACTTAAAATACTGTTTATGCACAAAATGTTTATTATATTGTTATAATATTATTGTTACAATGTTTATAAATGTAAGGTATGTGAGCACACACGAGACAATGTTGGCGTCCGTACATGTACTGACTTAAATAAAAACTTTAAAGTAAATTGCCTACGCGTACCTAATGTGTTCGGTGTAAACTGAACATCTTCTCGCACAACAAGGGAGATAAACTAAAAATACATAAAAAAGTAAAATTATTTGAGAAAAGTTAGGTATAAAATTATTCTTTATCGCGTTTAAGAATGAGAGTTCGCAATATAGGAGATGTTGCTCGGTCTTGAGTGTTGAACGCGTTCGGGACCGCGGGTGAGGACGCACGCTCGGTGCTGGCGGCGACGGGTTGCGTTCTCGGGGCGGGCACTGCAGCGGCGCGCTGCGCTCTCGGGGCGGCCAGCGCAGCCACAGGAGCGGAGCTTAGACCTTCCGTAGTTATGTTATCGAGGCTAATACTTGAAGTGATAGCCGTGTTTCTTCTTAGTCGTAGTCGTTTGCAGGCAAGGCATATAGCAGCTATCACAGCCACTCCCACCAGGATGTAAATCGCGACGTAATGATGTATGTCATGGAATGTTATGTTTTCAGCGATCACATTTTGGGATTTTAGGTGTTTGATGTTTTCGTTCAAGGTGGTTAGGTTGGCTTGGAAACTGTCAGCGTCTTTTTTCAATTCTCCTGTTTCTGGGATAGAGAGCTTGATAATTTGGTTAATAGCAGCGATTTCAGGCGTATAAATTTCAGGTCCGGTTTTCAATTCACTCGTAAATATTTTGTGCGTATAGATTGATAATTCTTCACTTTTGATTGAGCAACCGGGTTCCAGCGCGATGACCCCGGCGTCTTTCAGCCGTTCCACGGTAATTTGATCACCGCAAAAAATTCTTACGTTGCATTTGTCGCACGTTGTAAATAAGTAATTGTTCGCTTTATTTAATTGAATAAACATGTTACTGCACCCGGCGATGTTTATTTGGCACTGATTTGTGTAATTATTTTTCAAACACAGATCTTCATCTGAATTTCTTTGGTATATGGGGTGTTTGAGGTGGCATAAATGTGCTGAAAAATCGTACATAATACACTCTTGTAAATCGATAGATGTCATTGGGATGTAGATATCCTTTTCTAAATTAATTGCAATGTAATCTGCAATCGGTTTAATGTTCACAAAATTGTTTGTCCGTTTATGAGGAATCGGTATAACTCTGTATAGGTTGTAATTATCTCGGCTGACCAATGGTAATCTGATTTCAAAAATCAAGTACTTATTGGTCATCTTTGTTTTCACTTGAAGAAACTGATATATTTTTTGAAAATCTGATTGTATGTTTGATATAGGTAAGGTCAAGTCTTTAGGTATTTGTCCAGATATTGTGTTCAGTTCATTTCTCAACTGAGTAGGGCTTATGAGATGAACATCGAACCTTCCATGATATATATCGGTGATAGCGTCTGTCATCATGTTTTGTATGCCTTTCAAGTTCAGCAGTAAATTGTTCGCTATGACAGACATAGCCAAAAATTGGTTGATGTTATAAAGTTTTTCCAATTCTGTTTTTACTTTGTTTATGTTGCAGTCTAAAGCACTAATCTGTTTGTTGATAATCTTATGCTGTTTTCTCATAACTTCTTCCATTCTTTTCATCATGTTGTATTCCGCTTCGATAATAGACGTTTGATTCTTGAACAGGGAAGCCAAATGATATTCATTCTGTCTGACGAGTGTGATATCTCGCTCATACTTTTCTGCGAAATGGTCGTCGAGTACTCCGAAGAGACTATTCGCGAGATACCCGACACCATTGATAAGCCCTCGTTTCTGTCTGTCGTGCTCGGTTTGTTTACCTAGCAACATGCGGTTGTAGTACTCGAGTTCACTGGTACTATGACGTAACTGCAATAGCATCGCATCACAATGACCGTCACCCTTCATTGTTTTACATATGTTTTCCATGTGTTTTTGATATTTGTCAAGTGCTTCGGAGCCTTCCCAAAATGGTTGCATGTTGTAGTAAATTATGAGCTTCCAGTTGTCTCGAATAAGTTGGATGTTGGAAATAGCGTCGAAATACAAAGATTGATTAAGTTGCTGAATAGTATAAGCACCCTGCGTAGGTATGATTATACTCAAGAAAAATAGCAATGCAGCACAAATTGACAGCAGACTTGTTTAGTTGTTATCTGGTGTTTTCTGAGTTCAGGTTCCTGGTTTCCTCGCAGTGGCAGTATGGATAATTTGGTAACTGGCCGTTTTAAAATTCCGTTTTTTGTTTTCAAGGAGACAACTCGAACGAAACCATCTTTTCCTGGGTGTAAATGTATAACTCGACCTGTCAACCATTTTCCAGCAGGTAAGTTATCTTCTTGAATTGTCACCAATTGACCGACTTGAATGTTAGATGTCGACTGCTTCCATTTGTTTCGAACGGTAAGTTGTGTAAGGTATTCCGATTTCCAGCGCTTCCAGATATCAGCCATTAGTTTTTCTGTTAAGTTCCATCTTGTTCGCGCGTCGTGTTCTGTTTCCAGTATGGTTACATCAGCTGTTCCAGTTAAGAAATGCGAAGGCGTTAAGAAGTCCAGGTCCTCCACATCCTCAGTTAATGCACACAGCGGCCTAGTATTAAGGCACGCTTCTAGCTGAGTAAGTATCGTTGAGTACTCTTCGAATGTTAATTTTTGCTCTCCGATAACACGTTTGATGTGATATTTCAGGCTCTTGACCGCAGCCTCCCAGAGTCCTCCCGCTGATGGCCAAGAAGGAGCGTTGAAGTGGAATTCGATCTCCATTTTCGTAAGTTCAGTTAAGAATTCTGGATCAGAAATATTTTCTTTAAGCTGCTTTATGTTTTGTTCTAGAACACGGCTAGCACCGACGAAGTTAGTGCCGTTGTCGCAATATATGTGACGCGGCGCGCCTCGACGAGCTGCCATACGACGCAGTGCGGCCAAAAATGCTGACGACGTGAGGTCGGACACGAGTTCGAGGTGCACGGCCTTTGTTGCCATGCACACGAATACAGCCACATAACCCTTGTTTGTTTTTATGCCTCGACCCTTGCTTGCCTTGACGTCCACGTAACCCGTGTAGTCAACTCCTGTATGATAAAAAGGACGGGAGGGGTTTGTCCTGGCTTCAGGCAAATCACCCATGATCTGGGGTTGTATGCTGGGAGCGTGACGTCGACAGGTTATACAGGTTCTTATTAACCTTTTAATTGTTCGATTTCCGCCAACAATCCAGCACTTTTGTCGAATGAACGCTGACGTCAATCGCGCGCCGCCATGAAATGTGATCTTATGCGCACTATCAATCAGTAATTGTGTAAAACGGCTTCTGTTCGGCAAAATTATTGGATGTTTCATATTATATGTGATATTTGCGAGTTCTAATCTGCCATCTACTCTTAAGATGCCATTTTTATCTATGAACGGATTCAACTTTGATAATGGGCTCTTTTTCGGTACTTGTTTATTTTGCGTAATGTTATTGATATCTTCTTTGAATTCGGCTGATTGCACATGTTTTATTAATAAATTAGTAGCTGTTTGTAACTATGATATTGTTAGGTAGGGCAGCCTCTGTTTAGTTTTATCTTTTTTGACTCGTAGAATCCATGCTAATATTCTTACTAAGCGTGTAAATGAGCTTTGTTTTTCTATAAGTTGCGGTAAAATGTAGCTTTTTTCTTCTTCTTTTGCTTTCTGAGCTACTAAAACTTGCTTTTCCTCTTCGTTTGTTGTATACATAGGGTTGTTTTCTACATCTTGTTTATATGTTAGTAGCCAAGAGGGCCCTTGCCACCAAAGCGGGTGGTCTTTTAGTTGTCCTGCTGTTAAGCTCCGGGTGGTCTTTTAGTTGTCCTGCTGTTAAGCTCCTGCTGGCGCAATCTGCTGGATTTTCCTCCGACTTCACATAGCGCCAGCAGGCGGGGGGCATATTTGTGATCACTTGTTTGACCCTGTTCGCCACGAAAGGCTTCCATCGTGCAGCGTCTCCGTGCAACCAGCCTAGAACAGCGGTGGAGTCACACCAACCAAAGATCTGTATGTTGTACGTACTTAGGCAGTTGACAACCTTGTTCATCAATTTTGATAATAAAACTGCGGCATTTAGTTCGAGCCTTGGTATAGTGATAGGCTTTTTGATGGGTACTAGTCGGGTTTTGGCGGCAACTAACACCACCATTGAATGATGATTTTTGCTTGTTCTGCAATATATGGCGCAGCCGAATGCTCTCTCCGACGAATCGCAGAAACCATGCAATTCGACTAAGCTATTTTCTTTTGTTCCCAACCATCTAGGTATTTGTAGTTGATCAATCATTTTGATGCCATGTTTCATGTTTATCCATTCTACTTGGATTTCTTCGGGTAGTTCATCATCCCACTGAAGATTCAGCTGCCATACTTTTTGGAAGAGAAGTTTTAGTCTCAGTGTTATAGGAGCAATCAAGCCGATTGGACAAAAGATTCGCTTTGTACATTTCTTCTCAGAGTCAGTAATTTTTGTTTGGAATGTGAAAATATCTTGTTTAGAAATCCAGCTGAGTCCAAGTGTTTTCGATGAATGTGCATGTTTAAAATTAAAATTTATGTTGTCTTGGTTGTTGTTGATGTTAAGTAGTTCCTCTTTGTTGGAATTCCATTTTCTTAAGTTGAATCCTCCAGACTGAAGCAGGCGAATAAGCTCTTGTTGTAATTCCAATGCTGACGTCATAGAATGGGCTCCATACAGCAGGTCGTCCATGTACATGGCTTTTTCCAGGGCCTGGATTGCAGTGGTGGAGTAATCATTTCCTCGTTCATCGTTTGCTAATCGTTTAAGCGTCATCATGGCCAAAAATGGGGCAGCTTTTGTGCCATAGGTGACTGTGCATAGTTGTAAGTCTTGTAATGCAGAACTTGGACAATCTCTCCATATTATTTTTTGGAGAAGCTGGTCATCTTGATGAATCCATATTTGGCGAAACATCTTTTCAATGTCAGCCGTAAATACTATCTCAAACTGTCGCCACTTGATCAACAGTTTCTGAAGGTCTTGCTGTAAGTTTGGACCTGCATACATAACATCATTGAGACTCGAACCTGTTGAAGTCTTGCATGAGCCATTGAACACTACTCGCAAGGCCGTAGTTGTCGATTCCGGTCGTTGTACGCCGTGGTGAGGTATATAACATTCGAGTCGACCCATTGAATCAGCGGGTTTCATATGTCCAAGCGCTAGGTACTCATGAATGAAGGCTTTGTAATTTTGCTCAAAACTGTTGTTTTTTCTAAACTTTCTTTCCATGCTTAAAAAATGTGCGATTGCCTTATTTTTGGACGAACCCAATTGTTTTTCATATCCTGGTTTGAGTGGGAGTCTGACCTCGTATCTACCATCACTCAGTCGTTTTGTTGTTTCTTCATAGTATTGAATACATTGAAGGTCTTCTTCTGATAAGTCGAAATGCTCAGTAATGTCCTCTGTTTCCCAAAATTTTTCGATTTGTTCGATGTTGTTCAAAATTACATTGCATTGGTATGTTTTTGTATTTCCACACAAAATCCAGCCGAGCCGAGTCTGTTGGGCAATCGGCACAGATTGATCTTCTTCTCTGCATATTCCAGGTAATATAATGTTCGAATATATGTCAGCACCCAGAAGAAGATCCACCGGTCTGCTGATGTTGAAGTCTGGGTCAGCTAGTTGTATATTGTTCAAGAATGACCACGAAGGTTTAGCAAATGTTGAATTTGGTAATTGTTTGATAAGATTTTGCATGATAAATACCGACGTATCAAAAACGTAGTTGTCGTCCATTGATGAGCATGTTAAGTGAAGTACTCCTTTACAGCTATTAGGTTTAACACCAACCCCATAAATACTACTTTTGCAGTTTCGTCTAGGAAGTGCTAGTCGCTGGGCCGCATTCTCAGATATTATTGAGACTTGCGAACCCTGATCAATAAGTGTGCGCATTATTTTATAAGTACCATCTGCGGCCCGCACCTTGAGCATCGCTGTCGCTAATAAAATTTCTGTCATATCGTTGTTTTGTTGAGTAACGTTGGAGTTACTTATGCTGACCCGATTATTTTCCACTTCTGACGACATCGACGACTTGTTTTTCACATTCGCATTGTTTTGCGGCTTGTTTGAATATGACCGGAAGGCGTCATGTAACATAGTGTTATGATTTTCGTTGCATTCACGACACCGCTTCTCTGAAAGTCATGCTTTACCTTGATGATTAAAAAGACAGTTTTGGCAAACATTTAATTTTGTTACTGTTTTACGTCTTGTTTGTGGAGACATGTCCAAAAATTCTTGGCAAAAGAATAGTCCATGATCCTTACTGCAGAGTGGGCATGTACATGTTATGAAATTCTTGTTTTTAACAGCTTGTAAGTTAGGTGACGCAGAACCCCTCGACGAGATGTTGGATTGATGCTGGGTTGTTACTCGATTACTGGCGTATGATTGTTTGAAATAATTCGATTTCGAAGTTTTCGGATACAGATTTTGATTACTTGGAATGTGTGATTTTTGATGAGTGTTGTCTTGTTTTCTACGTCCAGACTCCATCGACGTAAATGTTTGTTCCAAAAACTTGAGAAATTCTTGTAATTTTGGCAGTTCCCGGGGACATTTCAATGATTGAACATAATCAGGATGAGTTTCGTTATCGAGTTTTTGAGTCAACAAGTAAACAATAATCGGATCCCAGGTGCTTATATCAATTCCTAGGTTTTTTATTGCATTTAAGCATTCCTGCGTAGTGTCGTGAATTTTCTTGATGTTGGTCACTGATGCTTGATGGGGAACTGGCAAACTCATTAATATGTTCATATGAGAAGTGAATATAAGTTTCGGGTTATTGTATCGGTTGTTTAAAATGTCCCAACAGATAATATAATTATCCGAGCTGATCTGTAGGTGTTGTATCAGCCGCTCCGCCTCTCCCCTGACCTTGCTCTTTAAAAACTGCATTTTTTGAGCACTGGAAAGGGAGCGATTGT